ATATATATATATATATATATATATATTCCTTCTTCGTTTCACCTCGTTTATTTGCCACCCCTTACGTTTTCACACTCAATCAGCACAAATAATAATTCCTAAGGGAAAAAGAAACAAAACTTAAAAACTTCGTCACAAAGATACGTCACAATTGGAACCAATTTCTCATTAGCACATGAAACTGTTATCATTCGTTGTAAATAATAATAACAAGTATCGTTCGTTCAAGCGAAAAAAGTCGTGGCGAATACATGTGTGCATCGTATGTAAGATTCATTAAATATACGAAGGTAATAAAGTGGGAAGGGGTAGGACTGTTAGAAGGACAAAAGTGGGTGAAAAAATAAAAAATAAAAATTGAGAAACACAAATTCTTTATCTAGGTGTACTACGAAGTTGCCATAATAATTTGTATATAAAGAATAAAAGAAAATCAATGTAAAGTCTCGAGACAGCGTTGTGATCTATTAATTTGTGAAGCTTGTTATATAATACACGATAGGCGTATATATATATATGTATATTATTTAATGAAAATACCATCCTGTATATATTATATTACGTGTACTGCATAATAAGTATTATTGTACATGTGTAAATATGTACGTAGTATACCGTAATAATACCAGATGCTTTATCTCGACCGAATTCTTATGTAACTTTCCTACTGTATCTATAATACGCGTTAAGAAGAATACAATTATATCGTTCCTTAAGTAACGTGGCGCCATCTGCTTTTACGAACGTACGTTAATACCAATTCGATTGCATAATTTCGATGATTGCCATTCTGAAGGCCTTTACTTTATTTGATGGTCAAACTTGGTTGGACCTTCGTTTCTTATGACTATTTACTTTCACAATTTTTCTTTTTTTTTCATATGAACTTTTCATCTATTGGCTTATCGTTATTTTCTTGTGAAAAAAAAGATTGCGCAACTGCTCATTTACATTTTTCGATAGCAACTGCTTGACATACTCGGATCTAGGATTTATCGATGGAATCTGTAATAGTGATTACACTGTTATTTGTTATTTTTGTATATCTGTGTACGGGAGTAAAAAAACGGTCGATGAGTGTCATTTGAGGTGTAGGAAAATTAAATCTGCCGTGGCGATGCATCTGAACCAGTGCCAAAGCATCCGACACAATAATGTCGCATCGGAATTTGAGTAGCGTGAGCGAGACTGAGTACGCCTGCTGATCATTTTAATGTATAAAATCAATAACGTTACATAAGTGGCACCCTGTAGAAAATTGTAACTAATGCATTTTCATAAACGGAATCCTCGAGACAAAGCATCCGGTCAATTTCACTTAAACACGTGTACAAGATATGACGGGGATTGTTCGAAAATAGAAATGAGGTTAAGGTTCGTGTATGAAGAATTTGTACTGTGAAAAAAAGAAAGAAAAAAAAAAATAATCGCAAGTCAAAATGTATTCGAATTCGATAAAGAAATGACTGTGGGATAATTTTCGAAAGTTTCGTCTTTGTATAAAGCGATGTCTAGCATGTAAGTCTACGGTCGTTTACGAAATATCGATTTACGAACGCGCGCGGATTGCTCAAACGATATTCTGGCTAGGATGCGTAATGGAGTGAAGATTTGAGAATTGTAAAAGGGTGATTAGGCTTAGGGGGTCGAGAAGGGGGGACTTAGGTAAAAAAAGTGTTATCAAGATCGTAGCAACAGCTTGTGATCAACATTGATATGGATTTCTGCGCTTCGTTATCTGTTTAATGATTGACAGGCATCAGAAGCAAGTTTAGATTAATGTGCTAGTCATTGATTCGCGGGTTGGCTGAAGTTGGGCGAACGACGAGCTGGAAAAAAAGAAAGAGGAACGACGATGTACGATCTAGAGTAAAAAAGAGAGAAAGGAGTTGCCGTCGGGCGTAGCTCAATTCTAATGTACTTAGATTAGTTTAATAAGAGATTCGCGAGACTAAATTAGATTAGGTTAGGTATTAATCGGATTGTACGTAATCGATGCAGGTGATTGTTTTCCTTTAATTGCATAAATTTTGCACCTGAGGAGGGTACCATTATTTTTATTATATTTCTTAAGTAACATATCGTTGAACCAACCCGAAGAGCAGAGACGTATACATTTTTGATTTTTCGTACTCCGCATTGTTCAAACATTGATGAAAAATTTGAAAAAATTACTCAAACTGAAAATTTCGAAAAACGGAAAATCTTTTTGAAAATTTGAACGCACGGGAATAAAATATAAAAATTTCAAATAGCTTATTTTCAATTTGTTTTTAATACCTCCTCGAAGCATCCATACGTACGTTTCGATCACGTACGAGTTAGCATAATTTGAAGAATGTGACAATTAATTTTTGCACCCGAAACAAGGAATTCTGGGTAGTACGCTTAGACGCGCAGAAATCCGGCTTTTCCGGTAAAAGCGAGAAGGGACAAAAAAAGGATGGAGAATACACGATTAGTTCAAAAACATTAGCTATAATAATAAGAACAACAAATACATAGATTTATCTTACACGTAATAATATCACGGAACAAAAATGCCAACTTCGATTTATTATACCTATACGATAATGGCGTAATAGAATATCAAATCGTTATTATATCGTGCAGTGATAAATTATTAAATTTATTTAAAAAAAAAAATAATAAAATACCTATTGTCATTTCTGTCTGGAATAATCCTTTCGAAAATCACACAAGCATCATTTTCGAAGATCTCATTTTTTTCTCCGATCTACGAATTGTGTCCAGCTTGAATACTGTACTTGAGCACGTGTTGCATGAGATTTTCGTCGATTTGCAGTTTCTTATCAATCCACTGCCCTGTTATCTCGATGATGATACAGACGTTAAATTTACAAGGAATAAACAGCCGATCTCTATCGGACCAATTTCTGACATTTATCACGTATGTTATTTCCCTTCTCTCTCTTTTCATTACAAAAAGACAGACTACCGAATACGAAGATAGTAAGAAGCCATTTTACGAACAAAGCTGCAGGGATATGTAATCAATGGAAAATTGATGGACATTTGATAATTGGCTGGAGAAGGAAGAATAAAAAAGAAAAAGTTGAGAAAACAAAAGGATCGTATCGAAAGAAGCTTTTGCTTGAGAATTCGCGTTGAAAGTGCCGCTCGCGAATTTTTTAAATTATTATTGTGGCTGATAGATTCGACGGCAAACGGAGAAATTTCGTGTGCGAATGAAAATTAATCGAGAGAGAGAATTTTGAACGGGACAAAAAATCAGATAGCGAACGACGAATCAATCTTTTTACACTCGTTCTGTTATCGTTGTATAACCTCGCGGTGCACGAACTATTTTTCTAGAGATACGAAATCATCCGATAGATTACTAAAGCTCCGTACATATCGAGCTGTGTATAATACGCGTATTCACCGGTATTCTACGCTATTGGCAAAAGAAGTAAATAGATTTATTTTTCTTGTTTTCTCTTTCTCTCTGGTTATCACCCAGAGAGAAAAAATCGATTCCCTAAGTAATTATCATCCAACTTTTCGTTATTCTCCTGGAGCTAAATATAAAGCTGTACTTTCACCGCAAAGATTATTCGCCCTTAACATGGGCGACACATTATTTCAAGGTTAGAAAAGCCGCATTCCGCTCACGATGATTGTATAAAAGTTCACTGCTAGATTATCCGTTACATGAAAATCAACATTTATTTCGGTCACGACGATCATGCCTCTATGTCAACTGGTGGACGGATTGTAAAGGGTGACGATTACGAAGTTGCGATTCCGATCGTAAACTTCTGTATTTCTCTAGCATGCCGGGAGCTCTCAAGGATAAAAGTGCCGCAATGTAGTTTAGTATCAAAACTTGGCTCGACGATCATCCGGGTATCCCGTAGCAACCACTTGTTGATTGATCAATTCTAGAAGGGTGCGAACGATCGAGAAAATATATAGAAAATAAGAAGTTACGAGAAAGCTTACCAGATTGGAAGAATTGCAAGCGGCTGTTTACGTTAGGCTTTCATTATGCCTCGATAAAGACGACTCGGCAGGACGTTTAATAAAGTGGTATAAAATAGTTGATAATTCAGCGATTCTCTGAATTCAAGTTCCACATGCGTGTCTGTGATAATAAGTTTTAATTTGTGCTCATGGAGAGTAACGTTGCGTGGGAGTGTGGAAGAAGAAAAAAAAAGATATGCGAGCGACGACGACGAGACTATCGAGTATTCGCTTTATCGCCACTCGGCTCTCCTGGTGGCAACAAATGTAATGAAAAGTGTGACGTCGAAAGAGTCAAGCTACAAAAAAATGATACAAAAAAGGAGGAAAAAATACCAGGAACATTCCATGCGTTGATTGTACTTTGAACGACTAATAAATGCCATTTATGAATTTTTTCTTGTACTTTTTATTAATAAAAACCTGCTATGTGTTCTTTCAACCACATTACAGAAAAGCTAATATGGATCTAAGTACTTTCTGTTGGTTAACCATACGTCGTACAATCTCCATGGAGGCAGGCATGTCATAAAACACAATTTATTTAATTAATTGAATCGCACGTAGCGTCTTATTTACTATATACGATTTTTGTATTGAAAAAAAAAAAACAATGTTTAGGTAAACACGAAAAACTTGTATCTTAATGATGATTTACGCCATTTCTCTATACAATGCCTCAACAATGACTTACAATAAAACATAATAAATTGACAGTGGCATTCGATGGCTTGCGTGACGTGAAATTGATTCTCCACGATATAAGTATCACAACTTGGCTCGTTCCTTTGATCGACTTGAGAATCTAATCAATTCGAATTATCGTCTGTCTGACTGACTCCTACTCTTTGATCTGCCCTTTATAAGAATATACCACTATCCTATAGAGAATTTCTTAGTAGAATCTTTACTATACGCAGAACATACATAGGTGCTTGTGCTATAGTTTACTTTTTCGTACAATTACGTAAACGGCTTGGTTTCTGCATTATGACAACAACACATCAAAGTAGGTCAGAGTACTATATCTATATGCTAACCCATTGAATTATGAATACGTTTCCAATTCCTAAGTACTTGTTTGATCCCTTTTACATGCCTACTGAATACGTATCATATGTGTTCACATGATAAATTACTATTTCATAAGACGTTTTTTACTTCTAATGACTTTTGGTATATTCTAGTACAATATATTTGTTTGTTTACACACGTGATGCTTCGACAGGCCATTTTCGACTTTTTACAGTACATTAGCACTAAGCAAAGCTGTCTGGTATCCATATAAAGTTAAAAAATATATCAAAATCGCACATCGAACTGCTTTTCGTACAATTGGTTTGGGCGATAATAATAATCAAACAGCTGGTTGACGTTTCAATGGAAATAAACTGGACCGCCCTTGACTATGAAGAATAGTGTGTGTGTCGCATAGTTGATATGATTACAAGGTACGACTCGCTTATGAAAAACAAAAGGAAAAAAAAACGTACGATTATTATTTTGCTTTATTTTCCATCTGGAAGGAAAGCAGGTCTTTCGTAAAACGAAAAAAAGAAACGTACGAATATAAGCACGTCTCTCGTAAGGGCAGACGGTGAACGACGAAAGAAAATTCCAGACTTGATTTCTAAAATATTCATTACCCACGTAGAAAGACCTGGCAGGATTATGAGTTCTTGTATACTATAATCGATAATCGCATTTATTAATAATACTGCGAAAGGAGAGATCGTCATTCCATTTTTATATACTTTTGGTATAAAAGTTATTGTCAGTGACGATGGTAAAAATATTTTGCACTTTATTACAGCAAATAGCACGAGCTCGTTAAGCGAAGGACTGTGGATAGACAACTTTTTTTGGGACTAAATTTCATTGTCGTTTGGAAATAGTTGAATGAACCTGCATAAAAGGGAAAGCTTTCACAGGACAATATTGAATTTTATTGTTTAACATGATACGCCAGATAGTCGCTTTATCTCATTGATCGTCTTTTGATCGACAAGAAAGTTCCTTGATGGAATTTCGCAAATTATGCGAAAGAAAGAGAATTCCAGCCTCGTACTATGCAGCGTTTACTATGTGCGTGCGCGATGGGTAATATAAATTTAACAATGTATAAGGGTGTAATTAATTACTCGCTACAAAATGGATAACTGGATCGTTATTTACGGATTAATCCTTTTCTGATTGAATAATATCAAGGAGTGACGTTGATTCAATAACAAAATTCCTCCTTTATCAAATACCCTTATATAAAACCTCTTGTAACACGCATAATTTCATCGCATGGAAGCTTTATCATTTATCAGAAAATAAACAGCACTGACTCCAGAATACCAGTCCAATTTTTGTATTAAACCTTATTGAAGTTATTGTCTCTAGGTCCAAAGGAAGTGGACATGCTGCTACATGTGGATATCGAGTGATGCACGTTTCCGATTATTTCACGTTTGTCCGTGTTTGATGTAATAAAATGCTGATGGTGCTGCGTTATGTACTGTGAAACAGAGGGTAAAAGAGATATAAAAAAATTGGTCTATACATAGATTTTAAAAGAGAGATATCAGTAGATGGAAAAAATTACCCAGATAAATATCTGCTGTACGCTGCAGATACACGCGCGGAGTTAAAAGTTTCGATATTGACCGTCAATCGTTGTCACGCCATTTCCGATGTATGCGATACGTCATCCTTTACATACTGTTAAAGAAAATCCCATGCGATATCTAGTTGTCTGATACGTTTCAAGATGATTCATAGAGAACGATGACAACGATGAGTATTCCACGCAGGATGTAGATACATCTTAAGAATCTCTTACGGGCAACCTGTGGTCATATAGACATCTTGCAGACGTCTCAGGGACATTTGCGCGGTGTGGGTTGAACGTTCTGTCTTGCCTCTGGAAAAAAAGGAGGTCAACAAACACTGTAAGAAAAAGTCAGTTATACCAGAATCAATGGGGCATCAGAAAGTTCATCATGGATGAAATTTTTGATGACAGTTTTTAGATGGCAACTTTGTAAATATTTGTCATACATACATATATGTATATACATACCAGTGCATACAGATTGCGTGTCTGCAGTTTTTTTATTTTATCGCCGATGCAAATCATAGGTTCCTCTTCTCTCTCGTTTACGTATTGTAGGTTTTCATGACGGGATTTCACTTTCTTTTTTTTTCGTGTAAATTAAGCCTATTGAGCAATAGGCAGACAACGGAAATGAGTGTATGAGTCATTTTTGACATTACCGAAATTCGCTGGAAACTGATTACTGCGAAGCTTATCGTTATATGAGTCATGCTTCGATCGCGTTATTAACCTGTAAATATTTTTCAGTCGTGGCTTTGTCTATGTAGGTAGTAATAAAGCTTCAAGGATATCTCTAGAATATTTTTTGATCTTGTTCATCAGTTTTTAGCTCTTCACATTGCACTGATTTCACTAAAGCGACATGTACGATTGATAGTCGCTCATATAACTCTTGGATTAGTGTAAAAGAATAAAACACATGCATGCGTATGTTTCACAGATAAGCGTGATAACTGTCGTTATATTTTAAAAAATTAATCACGTACGTTCAAGAGTACAGGATGTGATAATGGATGGATTCGTCAATGGATGTATGAGTAAGATTCTTTATATACTGTCAGTTCCTGCTGTTAATAACGCCAGATTGTTTCGTCTTTTCGCGGACAATGATAAATGAAAATTGAAGACCGCGTTTAATGCGTCTGATGTTCAACAGAATCTCGATCGTGTCTTTATAGAATTACCGGATTTAATCTCTGATGGACTTCTCTTCCCAGAGGATTTACTATATTCTATTGAATTATGTCTTGCGAAAGGAGAACAGCTTGGATAATAAATTCTTACCAGTCAGCTAGCGAAAATCTTCTTCGACGTTTAGCAGCCCCTTAAGCGCACTTGGTAAGATGACTTAATTCGATTTGTCTCCCTGAGAAGTATTCTCCACTGTCTTTACGTATTTTCTATATCCGTCTATTATAAAACACGTGGAAGTATCGATTTTCCCATTTTCAATCATTAGCAAAATCTAACATCGAGATGGACAGGAAAATTACTAATTATCCGACTGCACGAAGTCGCGTCATGCCGACATTACCGACTACTGTAGAGCGTCTGTATGCTGGCGCACTCTGTGGCGTTGTTGAGAACTAACAACGAACTAATTGCAATACGCATTATATTATCAACTAGATAGCGAAGCTTTACACGGATAAACAAAAAAGAGGTTCAAGAAATGCTGAACTGCTCGTTCCAGGAACTGGTAAGAATTAGGAAGTAAAAATATGACTCGTAAACCTGTTTAAAATACTGCGTATTGATTATTCGCATTTAAAGATTAAATCGCATTTTTGCCACAGAGTGCGCTGAGTGGCTGATTTCAGTTCGCAACGGTCGGTACGATAAAGATGTCCTTCCATAAAAGTTAGCCGTCAACTTAGAACACGCAAAACATCAACTACACATGCAATGTAACAAGTTGGACGGGTACGAAATTCACTGCGCTAATATCTCGTAAAAACATTTGTGTTACCGTTTAGACAAACTATCATACGTATATGGTAAAAAAATACTCGTGACCCACGAAATACTCAATCTTTGTTTTGTAAATCTCTGGCATAATATATTTCTCTCTTATTCTTCGCCAAAGCCAAAAACAATTCGCAGATACCGAGTAGATCGAAGTAGTAATTTACCAAAATAGTAACGCGAGCGAAATATCAGGCGTTCAGATAGAAATATTTCCAGGCTGCCAGTAATAAGAACAAATAACATATCGTTTGACTCTCAAGTTGTTCTGTTAAAAAAAAAAGAAGGAAAAATAGCTAATCCATACACGTCTATTTCATTGAACTATTTTAAACGTAGATATATGCACTCCACTTGATTTATTGTACTACTAAATATTATGAAATCGTATCGATACACGTAGTTATTAACCAACGCATTTCATGAATAGAATCAAATAGCACATGTTTATTAATACACCCCACTTATGTTATCCTGTATTTCTCATGCTATCAGTAGATTAGATAGAAACATCTATTTTCGACAATTTATCTAATACGAAGGAATTCCGCAGTAGAACATCCTCAACTGACTGATGCAATTCTTCACTAGGCCTCACTCACACCGGACACGCTGACAAATTCACGGCTGACATTGCAAGAGTCCACTCAATGTAATTGGATCATTTTCGAGGACAAAAGGAGGAACAGCGAAATCCATTGGATTGCGATGAACTTCGTTGATATCATTGCTGGTATGAGAATAAAGTTACTAAAATATTATAATGAAATTAATAATGGATAGAAAGAAAAACGCTGTCGTATAAATTTAATTTGTTATGTTTTTACTGTACTCTCGCTCTGTATTGTACTTTCAGCGAGTCCCGCTGTCTGTGAGAGTTAATTTATATATGAGCGATTCGCATAATCTCTTTTTTACATGAACGCGAAAAGGCGACCTCTTTCGGGCTTAGACAGTTTTTCTTCTCTACTCGTGCACACTGATCCCGTTACGTTAAGAAAAAGCTTCGCTGGTTACACTAACGAGAATTCTCACTCGTTTTGATAACTCTTATCTAGCTATTTTCATCTATGCTTTCAGGTAAGTTAATTCCATCTGGTTAATCATGGCAATACTGATTGGTTCTCACAGTCATAAATCCTTTATGGCACTTCATTACACTACGAGATATTCTTCTAGTTCTTATTCTTAACGAGCTGTCGTTAATTCCTTATCCAAGAGGTTAATATGGATTAAACAATGCATCTGAGTTTTAGAGATTACATGTATACGAGGGATATAAGATTGCTAAAAACAATGTAATTTTTATTTATTAATTTTACATATTTATTTAATCGCTTCGATCAATACAGTAAGGACTGTTCATTTGCATTGCTAGATTCTACGAATGGCCATTTTTATCCGTCCAAATGTCAACCACTGAACGGCAGATTACGTATACGCGGTTAGATGTTTACTTGGATTTTAGGGTTTGATAGCAACAACGATTCAACGATTTAATGTAATTATCTTCCGCCTCAGGTCTTTGACTCTGCGTGGGTTTATGATCTTATTCACAAGGCATAGAAGTAATTCAACGTCCCCGTATAAAGGGCTATACAATAATCCAAGGATAATGCCGTCTGAGAAGCATACAAAAGAGATTACTAGGATAAAATAGAACTCGACTGTTTGCATAGTTAGCACACCTCATCTCGAGAGTATCTCGTGAGAATCTGTCGATAAAAGACCGAGTGATTTATTATCGTAATATATAATTCAATCAGCTTCAATACTTTTCATGTTTACCACGGGACGTCTCCTTGAATCAAACTCGTTGGACGATATTTTATTCTTGTCACTTGTAATACAAGTTTCATCAAATACTTATAATGGATCTTCAATGTCGCCGATATCGGATTCCCGCAGCTGTACGAAGTTTGATCTTATCTCTCGTAATACTCACAAGAAACCTTTGGTAGTTGTCCGCCTCCGATTTTCTTCGTTTTCACATATGATGTAGTACTCGATAAACTAAGCGACACGTATTTTTTCTTATCGGCTCAGATTGGGTTTTCGGGGGGTGAAAACCGTCCCCAAAAATTCTGTTACTAAAGCCCCATTTAATTATTTGACGTATAACAGCGCTATCTTTCATAATGAAACCAACTGGAAAAATGTCCTCACAGTGAAAGATCAAAAATGTGATTTTCTCAAATTTGTCGAATTATTTTTATGGGGAGTGAACTACCCCAAAGTTATTTTTCATTATATAAAAAATTGCCAAACATGAGTAAACTCGAGATAAAAATTTGGAAAAAATATATATTGCTCGCGATAATTAAATAAAGTTTACGTGTTTTTGTATTTTTACGAAAAATTATTTTCTACGGGGTAACCACCACCCTGAAGTATATTTTGTTTCTCTTAAATAAAATAACAATTAATGCACAAGCAATAGAAGTTTCATTACATTAAACGGATTTATTGCTGTATGTTTAAAACTAGATAATTGTAGTGAAGATTAAACTGATGAAATTGAACGTTCCAACTCAACCACGTTTAAAACAACACCGAACGATTATTCACGCTCAGTCAGCCTTCTTGTAGACCAAGACGCGTGGGTCGACAAAAACACTCCGCAGAGACTTCTAATTTTATACGTACGTATAAAAATATTAAGACTCCATAGTAAAAAGGTTGAAATGTTTTTTTCGTGGAAAATATTCTAATACTCCGGTATGTTGATGCGTGTGGATGGGTGTGTGTGATGCGGTATGAGAGACCGTCGGTGAGAGCGCCGGACTATAACAGTTCGGATGAGACCACGAATAAAGGAAGGACAGTTGCCAAGAGTACATCAAATTCGAAATTTTAACACCTCGCACTTACCAAATCCTGAAGATATTTTCCTTACGGACTCCATAGTGCAAAAATTTGAATTTTTAGGATGAAATTTTTTTCCGTGGACAATATGTTTAAGGGTTATTACCCCCTAAATATGCATCTTTAACAAAGGTAAGTCGACGCTTTGTCAGCTCAATGTCTCTATGTAACATAAGTTCCTTTATTCTACGGAAATATGCCAACAATAAATTACACTCACGGATGGTTCAAATTTAGACACAAATTTAATTAGGTTAGCCCTTAGAAAATAATTTTTCGCAAAAATGCAAAAACGCGTAAATTTTATTTGATCACCGCGACGAACATATATTTTTTCCAAATTTTTTCGCTCGAATTTACTCCTGTTTAGCAATTTTTTATATAACGAAAAATAATTTTCGGGTAGTTCACCCAGATAAAAATAATTCGACAATTTTGAGAAAATCACATTTTTGAACTCTCATTGCGAGGAAACTTTTCCAGTTGGTCATTATGAAAGATACCGCTGTTATATGTCAACTAATTCAATGGGTATTTAGTAGCACGATTTTCGGGGGCGGTTTTCACCCCCAAAAATCCAATTTGGGTCGATAATAAGGAATACGTGTCGCTTGGTTCATCGAGTACCACAGCATGTGTGCAAAAGGAAGAAAATCGGAGGCGGAATCCTACCAAAGGTTCCTTGTTAGTTTTTTATTTTTTGACAGGCAAAGGGATTCTCGCGACGAAATCTCGACAAAATTTTGGATCTCGTCACCCGTCAACGTCTCTACTGCGAGGCTAAAACTGAGGCAAACTGTCAAGGGCGCGGCGGCTCCTTTAGGTTAGACTTTGGAAGTAGTACAAGCTCGGGAAAATTTACATTCCTGGTTTACTCAGTATTACCTTTCTCACTCCTTCCATCCTTTCCAGCCCTCGCGCTCGTGTACACACGCCTACCTGTATGTGTCACGCACTTGGAATGATACGCGTGCTCGGTTTTTTCAAATACACGCACGCACATTCGTCCTCGAACATTTGCCTAACGGAGTCGTAAAAAATATAAGGATCCATGGAAACACGAGGGTGCGAAGCAAAGTGCACGCCTTAGATTTAACACACTAAACCTTTTACCCCAAGTACACGCAGGTTTCGTTTCGTTGTCAAATTGTCGGGAGCGTCTCGTCCGCTATGGTAAAATATTTACCCAACGTTAATTACTTCGATTCATTGGTTACGGGGATTCCCCCTGGTATGTATATATTTATCTTTCGACTATTCGCAGGCTCCAACTTTGTTTAATATTTTTTTTTTTTTTTTTAGGACCCAGAGAAAGGATATACCCTCGATCTCTTGTGCGTGCATGAATTTTGGAAAATTCAAAATCGCCCATCTCTAAATTCTAAATTCACAACTCAGCCACGGATTCGCTGCGAAATTCCACCGGTCGAATTTTCAACGTGCGAGCTTGCGCAGCTCGCGCCCAGAACCAGCCGAGTTGCATCGCCTCGCGCTTCTCACTTGGGAAGCTAATGTCAGTAGAGAACGCGCGCTCACCTCTCCACGTGCTCCGCGTTTCGGTTCTTGGTAATTTCAATGCGTTTTGCCATTCACGATATCCCGTCAGTGTGTACGGTGATTTATTTTATTTATATCGATTTACCCGCGACATAGGTAACCGTACGTATGGCGTAGTGCACGAGCTTATAAGTGTATTCGTGAAAATTTTCAACAAATCGTACGAAAGATTAACTTTTAAGTTCACGAGTTCGCTTCTTTATCGTTCTGTAAGTTATTGCTGATAAGAGATATATATAAAGTAACACGTAACTTCGAATGCTGTACGAAAAGTTCTATTGTGTTCTTTGGATTTTATTTCGGTACAGTGTTTCGAATATTATTCAAAACTTATCGCGCATTTACAAGGAGTGATTTAGTGATAAGTGTCTGTGATTAGAGAAGCCTCTATAGGCTGTCGATCGGTACTACCGTGTTACTATTACATTGTAAGTTTTACATCACTATTTTAATATTTTAATATCTAGTTTGAATTTTTTAACTCAGGCATAAATCTATAATGTAACTTATTAATGGTCGTATGCTGTCGGTATTTTATGTTAGTCCACTTTTTCTAACGTCCTAGAGGTTATTGAAAATTTACTATGGCGTTAGGTGGCAGAGCATTTTCGTCGAGCGGTCAATTTGGTAATTGCAGATAAATGCTCCTGTCAATATATAGAATCTACAAGTGGCATGTTTCCTCTTAATCAAATTAATCGTGCGCCGACTGTATACGAAATAGCGATGGGAATCAGGTCCTTAAAGTAAGAAAAAATGTATGAGCTATATTTGACTCGTCGGTGTCTTTCCCTGTGATATCAACAGAGATTCTTGGATGAGACGTAATAGACTCGTGCAGGTGTCTCGACAATTTTGTTCTGTTCCAACGACCTTACAAATGATATTGGATTTCTTGAATGTTTTCTTTATTTTTAGTTTTATGACTTTGTCGTGTTTTGAAATTTGATAATTACCTTAGATAATATAGTTAACTGTGCTCGTAAACGCTGGAGCTGGAACTAGTGTGTGCTACTGGGAACGCTTGCAATTCTATACGAAATTACCTCACGTATTTGAAATTGAACACGAGAAGCCGCAGCATTAGCACAGAAGCACGAACTTCCTATACACTTTATGGAAATTCAATAACTAGCTTTTGTCGCTCTTGTTAAAGAGACTTGGACAAATATCGTAGAACCTATCGCATTTCTGGTAGAAGTTGTGTGGGGATCAATATTATGGGGTAGTAAGAAATGTAAGGAGGGTGCAGGGGGGACATGGGCGGAATATATGCAGCATTCAGTTTGTCTGTCAGAAGTTTTATTTAAAATTTAAAATCGATAAAGAATTTTGTGATTTAAACTTCAGTTTGATTTACGAATAAATAATACTTGTATTTGATAGATTTTTTTTCTCTATGCTTTGAATTCATTTTTTTTCTTTCACGCGTTACTGAAATTTCCATATTGTCTTTTTCGCATGGAAAATGTACAGTGTGCTCGATTGGCTTAAGGTTTGTCTATGGTACTTTTTTTTGATTCTGTAGATTGAATTTTATGGGAAAAAAAAAGGTTTTCCCAGCTATTTCAGAGCTTCTCATTGGTCAATACGTTATAGGTTGGTGCATCACACTGGCTAAGCTTTATATTAATGATAGAATTGATAAAGCGTTACATTCAGTTTGACAGTTGGAAAAAAGCTCAAAGCTCCGTTAAGCGGGATGAAAATAACTATTTTTGTTATTTCCTCACGTAGAGCCACGTTTTTATTATAGTTCGATGGATCAGCGATGGAAATTCGCCTTTTGCCCTGTAAAATTGAACGTGACTTGACAACAGTGCTTCTGGAAAGTGACGTTTTTATAACCCACGTGGATCCCTGATGACCATGATATTATTTTCGGTGGTCAAGTCCTTTTAAATTTATCGAACCATACTCGATCTCATTTTTACTCGACCAAAGTGAATGGAGGTGGGCTCTTTCCGTCAGAAATTCATTTTAAATAAGACAAATCTTTTTACTAATTTTGTTTAATTTTCATAGACCGTCTCAGTGATCGAATTATTGAGTGTATTATTTTTGGCCCTGTAGATATTCCCGGACGGAAGTTCTTCGTCGGCAACTCATTGTCAGTTTCCTGCCGCCCTGCAAGTTGACCGACAATATTTCAAGTCGGTGACCTGAAAAGATTTTAATTAAAAGCTCTATTGTCAAAATGGTCGACAGTCAAAACCGTCACCCGAGGTTGCTCCGTCAGGATCGCTACCACGTAATCCGATTTTCTTGCGTTTCCCATGAATACGAAAACTATCCCGGAGAGAAAAGAGAAAGAGAAAGAACGAGAAAAAAAGGACGTTCCATAGAGAAACGAAATGGAACTAGAATTTCTATGGCTTCGCATTTTTTGCTTGTATAAATTGTCTTCTCTCTCTCTCTCTCTCTCTCTCTCTCTCTCTCTCTCTCTCTCTTTCACGTCTATTTCCCGACTCCTGTCTGAGTTACCACATTCAATCAGTCTGAAAAATTAAAGTTGATCGGCGGCTGCGCCCACGCCCTATACGAGTCCCGTCGCTTTCTTACGGACTCAAAAGTTTGAAAATTCCGAAAAGAGATTTGCCCAAAGTGCTCGGATGGTAGAAGATCAGCCATTTGTCAAAGCAAAGGATTTCAATAGGCATCGTTACCTGCGTCTTTCTCGAAGACTGAATGAGTCTCCTTAAGAAAACGCTAATGACAGATTTAAGAAGCTCAAATCTTTGTACTCCAATAATAGTTTTCTGAGAAAACAAAAATCTCTATAGAGCCTAATATGTAATTCAGCGTCTGGATCTTACTACAGGACAGACACGGTCCAGATATAGATGATCGCTGGTTTCTGTCTATACCGTAAAGTAAAAATGTTTAGTCGTTTCGAGCTAAACATTTGGACTTTTTCTTTTCTCTTTATCTCTCTCTCTCTCTCTCTCTCTCTCTCTAATCACCAAAAACTCATCCTCGCCCAAACCAATACAGCTTTTCCCGTAGATCGTTTTCGTACATGATTCAGAAGAAATTCCTAAAGGATTCAAGTTTGTTTAACAGCAACCACCAAATTTTGTCAATTTACTTATATCAGCAATATAAAAAATTCCACTTGGAATTACGCAACCCCCTATATTATCCGATAACCTCCCAATAAGCCCAGTACTGCAGAGATTTATTGGAGCGTGCCGAAAATTCGTTTGAAGCCCTACTGCCATTAAATTTGCCTTGATACTTATTCGTATCGCGCTCCAAGCTACACGTGAGCGCGGGAATTTTCAAATATTTCTCCAATGCCTAAACCTGCGAATAAAAGTGTTCGCGAATAGCATTGACATGACGCTACGAAGTGCCAGATAAATCTATGATGTTTTAACATGGAATTTCAACCAACCAAAAATTATTACGCTCTCGCTACGTTCACGCACCGCTCGGAAATTTATTTTTCCCAAATTCACAGCTCGCTCTCTGTAACCGCGACGCGTTTTTACGAATTCGCTCGAATGATTTCGCACTTGGCAAACGTCCAAACAAACGAGGGACGCGCGTATCGCTTTTTTTGAAAAAAAAAAAAAAAAAAAATTGAAAAACGTTATACGTCCAATGGTTCAAATTTTCTGGATACAAAAAAAATTCTTTTAAATTTTTCTCGTCTCGATGCATCCACACATTTTAAATACACTATTTATAGAGATCCTTGACCAATTCTCTTATCATGGAACGATTTTTTTATTCCCCAGGATGTAACGCTCGATAAGATTTCATCCGTGGACCGAAACCAACGTGACTCGACGCTCAGCCAAACGCGTATAAAAAATGTATCAGTAACTTTTACGCAGAGTATTACCAAAAAAATTGTCTCGTCCGATACGCATTAACGAAACAAACCACATTACTATATCGCGTCTCGTTAGGTAATAAATCTGTTTGGTCCATATCGCTAAAATCGTAAATTATCTTTACGGCAAGTGCATTCCGTATATAATTGTTTTCACTGAAAGCACATAAGCCAAATGCAAATGCACCTGGAACGTATTAAGTATTTTCTGAAATCTTCAGCAAACACACACGATCGTTATTCAACCTCATATCCACACACGTATACAGCACTGCAAGAATTATGCGCACGAATCCCATTTAAAAATAAAGAAATTACCACAGAGTGATAATTTGACAAATCGTTCCACGTATTAAGTGAAAATAATTTTTCTTTCTTTCCTGTTAATTTGCAACAAAACATTTTTTTTCCTTCTTTCAATATCATCTTCGGAAAGGGTAGACAGTGAAGAATTCAAGGTAAACCCGACAGAGGGATGCCGATTCCTCTTGTCTCCCTTATTCTTCCTTACGGCCGCAGGACCTTCTACGGCGCTTTCAACTTTTTTCCCTCGAGATTCGGCCTACGGGTCTTATATATACATGTGTGTATATAGATATACACACACGTGTAATTTCAACCAATTAGAGAATCCCGATTTCCCAGCATCCCTACTTATTGTTAGAATACGTAGCGACGTATATGGCGTCTGACTTCTGAGGGGTAACGCCAGGGGCTGGGTCGGCAGCTAGGAAATTTGAGGTTAGGTAAACTTAAAGGACGCCTATAGCACGTAAGGTTAACTCGAGTTATCATCCACTATAGCAGTGGGCACTTTGGTTGTAACTACGCTTCCCCCCGAAGGGGGTATTTGTACCGTGGTGGTCTGTTTACAAGAAGCTTCCTTGAGGTTTGACGTATGGAAGATAGTTGAGGGAAGATGGAGCTAAGGGTAGGCGACAAGGAGGGATATTAATTAAATCGTATCAGGAGACTTAATCAAATAATTGGTGGACGATTAAATTAACCAGGTCGAAAGGAACTGATACATTTTATTGGGCAATAAATGAATTTTTCGATTAAATGACAAAAGCGAAGGGAAAAAATGGAGTGATTTTCTTTTAAATATTTAATCTCAATCTTCCGTTACGTTTTAGCTTTGCACTTATGTATATTCAATTCGGTAGATAAATTTATCGACCGACCGGTCAATTGTACGAGGTTACCTACTGGGATAAATGTGGGGTCCTTGGGCTGAAGTAGTACGGGCGGCACGGGCGACGGGGGGAGGTGATTTCTGAGAAGGCAACCGATACGCGCATTAGGCTTGATTATTATTTCCGGAATTATATATGGTTAAGGTACGCAGCGTTCGCAGTAAGAAATGTGAAGAAAAAAAAATAGATTTTGCTTTTAACTCGTGCGAAGTGAGGTTATAAAATCTTACCTAATCGAGCATCGCGTAAACCATGTCAAAGTTTTGGTGCCCAGGAAGTCGTAAAGTCATCGCGTTACGAGGTCCGATATTTTTTTTAAGCTTCCGCTGGATCTCAGCGTCCGCCTTTTGCTTCTCGGACGTTCGGAATGTACATGGGTTCGAAGTGTTTTGAGTTGGTTAAAGAAAGCATACGATATCTTAATAGTATGACGAAAGTGAAGTATAGCAAGTTATGGGAGGTCCTTCCAGGCCAAGGCTCTCTTGCTGGATTATGGACTAATTGTAAGTAATGCTTTTAGGTACTGTCGGTACAGAAAGTTTTTACTTCGAGATTAAACGGCCAATTGGATGTCTCGTGACTGTTGCAATTGACTGGATAGTTTTGTATTGCCGTTACGTAAATGTCGTTGTTCGTAGTTGCCGAGAGTATCGTGCTTGTAGAGACAGAAGAAAATGGAGAAAATGATGTCTTTTCATAGACCAAGATTCGATATCAGTGACGCTTTGATGAATGATAATGGCAATACTTTGGTCATGCGGCCATTTTATCACTGCGCAAGGCCGATCCAATGAATTACCACTGGACGTAATCGGTAGCCGCGTTTCATCTTTGACGCCATAATGATGACTCCTGGTCCTTCGTACGAGGTATATTGTTATAGCATATAAGTAGTATACATTTGGAAGGTTATGGTCGCTCTTGATATATTCAGATAGTCGGGATAATATATTTATGCGTATGCATATGTATGCATTCGAATGGGGACTTTGCTTTGTAACTGGAAAAGCGTAAGAGCATATTCTGCCATTGGTTTAGGTATTGTGTACAAGTTTGGAAATATATATGTATATATATATATATACATATATATAGTAGGAAATATAGCTGTTGTACTTTGTATCCTATAGCTGTGCAATACCTATGTATACTCTAGACTGAGCTTAGATGCTCTGTCCGCAGATTCGACTTGGCACATAAATATTTATTGAATCTTCACGAAATATAGACGAGCCGAGAATAAATTTACTGTTTGGATTGAGACAGCCTGGACGAGTCGAGAGCTTTTAGCTTGGATCGGCCTTGATCCTTTCAGGTATTCTTGGACCACACGCTTCCCAAGTGCCTAAATGCCTATTATGTACCATATCGTTGAATACAAACTTCAGTAATTTTATCTGGCTGCGGATTGTAGACTTCGATACGTTAACTTGTGGAAAATCCCTTGTGGGGAAGCTCTGTCAATAAATTTGTCTGTTTTACCTACAGGATCAAGTGTGCCTGCCGGTAAAGAAGTCTCGTTACCACAACGAGTCGAAACTTAACCGAAAATTTAACGTAAACCCTTCGAAACTCTCGTCCCGAATGCGTTTGCTATTTTATTGCTGCGGGTTGCACGTGGTCGCATACTGAATGGTAAATTGGTATTGGGAGGCTGTGGTTTGCGGTTAATTTAGCGGTTGTTGGCAGGATGCCCAGACGATACGTGCTTCGCCGCAAATCCCTCGTGAGGAAACGACAATGTGAGAGTACGAAATTATTGTTTTGCTTTTTTAAATCATACTTTATCCCGTTTTATGTATAATTCTCTTGATCGATGCAGTCTTTAAGGTTTTGTGGTTAGGAAGAGTGTCTTACGTACTGACTTTTTTTTCCCACGATGTACTGCTTGTCGTATTTCTTTGGTTGGTAGTTTTAGCAGCGCATTGCGGGGACGTGTCGAAGGGCCGAGGTTGTACGTTGAATTCGACCTGTTGAATTGAATAGACAACAAAGGTGCGACTGACACGTAACTGTTAGCGATGAAAGTCCTGAAATGTGTTTTAATGGGTCATTGATAAAATTCTGTATACATCACGTAATCCGTGCTATGAAAATAGAACATTTCGTATACGTTGCCCTACGACTATCCTGGTTATGCTAATCGTAAATTCAACCTGATATGTTAATCGTATTGATTCGCAAGTCGCGCTGGAACGTATCGAAGATATCGCACATGGCTCCACGTGAAAAATAGACCGAGGTCTCAATTTTATTCTCTCTCTCTCTCTCTCTCTCTCTCTCTCTCTCTCTCTCTCTCTCTCTCTCTCTCACACTCTCTCTTGTTCCTTCGCTACAGCTCGAGCTCGGTTATACATATATTCAAAGTAGCTTTTACTCCGTTTCGCCAAGCAGCAATTCGCTTTGACTCTTTTTTTTTCGCGGAACATGTTTTTATTAGATCCATATTCGTAAATCAGCATGGGTTAATATGACGCTTAACGAAAACCGAGAGTTTTACGAAAATATTGAGACACGGACCGGAGGAGAGTTTATATCGTAAAGCTGAGCCTTTTTCAATTCCGCTTATCCGACTATGATTAAAGATTTTTTACGAATTTATATTTTCTTTACTGTTCCAGGAATATAACGTGCGTTGTCGGAAGTGCTTGGGCTGCTGGTTAGAGAGGAGGATCAAATTCAAAATGGAGACACAGACGGAAGTGAGTTTATCCCACGTACCTCTTCTTGTGCCAAATATCTAGGAAGGTTCGAGAGTTGACACTGACAAGTAAAATGGCGTACGGCGTAATACTTTGAAGGCTCACGCGAACCATCGCGTTTTGCCTTTCGGTGCTGGACAAGTGATTATGCGAAAATCGTAGTCAGGCATGCGAGCCAGTCGTATGCAACCCGACGGCATAAATGTTGCGTTCTAATCACGCGTACCGATGTAATTACACCAGGGTGTTAAGTCTGTTTTACTGTGATTACGTTTTCTCTTTTACGTGCACATTCGTACTGTACAATATTCCGCGCATAGGATCAGGCTAAACATTTGCACGCTACCTTGCCAATCTTACCAGTCACCTAAACGTATACACATGATCCTTTAAGGCGCGCGATTATATTTTCACTTTCGTAAACGCGCACTCATATTTATTTCTGGCTGTAAAGAAGACAAATTTATTGTTCCTTGGGGCTCCTGGTGAATATTAATTTAATTCACAGCTGTCAGTCGCATACCGAATGTCTCTGTGTACAGTAGTCGCTACGTACTCGTTACAAGTCAATTTGTTTTCCTTTCGATCGAGAGTAGTAACGTCCGTTAGCCCAATCTGCCTTACCGACGGTAGGTAAACGCGCGTATAAGTTTGAAGAAAAAATGTTATAACTCTACGAGGTACTTTGAACGATAAATTACAAGTTAAAAACTATATCGATTACCACGTTTATTCCCTCATTGGCCAAGATAGTCTTTCATTACGGATTATAGAGTCCATTCAGGATCGAAACGACTTTACTCACGACTACGATGGCTCGTCTAACGACAATGGGTAATCCTGAAAAAGACTGACGATTATCATCGCTTACGACAGTCAGCGTCCATCCGTAATTGTATTAAAACCGGAAGTACTTAAAACAAGTCAATAAAATCAAGTCCATTAATTATTATCGATATGACTTTTAATTTTATTGACAAGGACATTATTTTTTTCTTCTTTCTATATAAAACACAATGAATTCTATATAACCGACGAGGGTGGTAATTCCAAGGAAGGAACGCAGTAAAGAAAACGACTGTTACGTAAGCCGAAGGAAATTCAACTTTTCAGCCAGTACCAGTAATGGATGTATCTTAACCTAAATTTAAACTCTTTCAGGTCCAATACCCAAGTGTACAATGTGTCAGGAATCTGAATTAATGATATCGAAGGGTATTAGCCTCATGCGTACCTAAGGGAAGAAAATTACGGAAAAAGGTGTCCGACCTGTCAGTCCTTGGTAGCACGTAGTCCGTCAAGGGAACCCGCGGGTGGTAATAGAATGGTTTATTTTATGTTAGGTGGTTAACCCATATACAGTGATTGCGATTTATGGACACTAAGCCAACGTGGTTATTTTTAGACGATAATACTACCGACCGATCTCATATACGATTGCTTGGTCATTTTGAGGTATCAGGAATATTCACTTCCTATTTTTTTTTTTTCGTTTTTTTTTCTTCTTCCCCTTCGACGACTTTCGGTTCCGTCACTTCGTGCCTCGATTTCCATTTTTACGAATTTCAAGTCTTTGACTCTACAGCTACCCTCGATTCCTCCCGTACTTCGTTCTCTGTAAATATTTATACTGTACATTTTCTCATATATGGCGCGCTAGACTTCACGAATAACGCTTCGCTCAGTCTCCTCCGACTGGATCATTTTTCCCCCCTTTTTTTTATTTTACACTCGCACGAGCATCTTGCAAATTATAGGGTCGTGAAATTTTACGGGATTTTTTGTTCTACGTTAAAATGAATTTTTTTTCCTTTTATCTTGTGCGTATAACGATAATAGTGACCAAGCCATGAATACTGCTCGACGAATGTCGGACGTCGTTACAGCCGATCGCTAACCTGACACGGGATGCGTATGTTAATAATTTACGTATGGGAATTGAATTTTGAGATATCATTATTTGCGTTATTTCGTTTACCAATCGATGTATCATCGGACGTTAAATTTTAATAGATTACGCGGAATTGTGAAATTTCGTCGACGCCGATAATTCCGGGATTAAATGGTGGATTTTCGCGAATTTTAATAACGCCACGCAAATTACTTTCGTTGACGCCGAACGATAAGTCTGCCGTTATAATTTGATGTAAAATCTCCGCAGGCTTTTAATTAGTGCTTCTTGCGTAATCGCAACGATATGGTACTCTGTGCTTTCGGATCATTTGAATTATCATTTATCAACTCGTGCTTTCGCATCACGATCAGTTGCGATATACACGTAATTCAATATTTTTGGAATATTCGATTAGTCGATTTAACCAGCATTGACAAATTTTTACTTGAGATTGTACCTGTCTTCGGATTCATGTATTCATATGAAAGTTGACGATGAACGTCTACAATCGTTTACGGAAAATCGTGAGTTTTCAGAATGAATTCCCATTTACGGAAAAAAAAGACCAAACAGCAGAGCGCGAAGGCTTGGAGAAGTTATTGCGCGAAATTGTTATTTGAAATTTTGTTCCCCCCCCTCCCCTCCCCCCGCTTATTTCAGCTGCTGCTTCTCAATGTACTAAACTTTTCCACCGACTCGACTGGAAGTTTTCCAAAGTTTTAAAGCATTGACCACGTGTTACGCCGTTCGAATGTCAACATGCAAATTGGTTAAAGTCCCTTATAAAGAAAAATCCAAAATTCATTGTTCAACTTTTTCTCCGCGAAACTTCCTACCGACTTAAGCTGCATTAAGGTAACGTTGAATTTTTGTTTACCTTGTATAGTGACCATTGAAGTCATGAATTTTTCTCTGTTATTCCGTCTAACAATGTTTTGATTGGTTTAATTTTCTTGATTTTTCTTGATTTCGTTATAATCAGTGTTATCTACCGAGGTAATTATTTGTATAATCGTTAATATTTTAGTGAGGAAAAATTCATAAATGTCATATCACTCAGGAAAATGATATCCTGGACGTAAATACTATCGTTGCCATGAAAAACATGCGCGCACATAAAGTTGATCGTTCAATTTGCCCGTTTCTCGGATTTTTCATGTTCCACGGACGACGCAGCATTCGTTCTTTACGGCGATACCGAGATGCGTTATCCTTGTGTAAAATTGAATGCTCCCATAGTCGTATTGGATTTCGATGAGAAATTGAAAGGAACGAGTTACGTAAGTAATTCTCGCAACGCGCGAGCGAACGAGTAGAAGGATTCTGCTAGTGAAATAATTTTATCCTTTTTCAAGCTCATACGCATGACGATTGCACGTAAATCAATGAATGTCCCATTAAATGTTCGTAAACTTCCCGAAAAACAGCTTTAACGAGGACATGAATAACTTTCATTGTTTCCGAAGGAAATAGTCGTTACGAATTTTTGAAAAGTATGAATTTCGCGCCGTCTTTTCTTAACCGTCGCATTTGAAATTGGCGCTGCGATCGACTCCGCGCCGAGAACAGGTCGGACGATGGCGACGCGGGACGAACGGAAAGAAGAAAAACAATGATGAAATCCAAAGAGTCCAGGGGTCATTTTCGTTTCTCTATTCACGAGAGTCAACAGTTAAGCAGGTAGACAAAGTGCTTTTAAGCTTTTAATACAATTTATATACAAAAACCAAGTTTTCCCACCGTCAAGCGTAATTGTTGCGCAAGGAGCCAAGGGAGGACGTTTAATGGCTGCCATTGCGTCCAAGGTGTCGTCCTTGTCTAGACACTCACTTATTTTCTTTCTTTCTTTCTTTCTTTCCTTTCCTCCCATTGTTCGCCACCTGGCGGGGAAATTTGTGTTTCGTCGTAAAAAAAAAAATCCAAAGAAAATCTCTTGCCAAGCGTCTTATACGCAGTATTACGCAATATCAGGGTGGCCAATCCCAAGTTTTCCAGAATATTTTCTCCCTGGGATCCGCGGCGAACGTCTTTACACGATTTTACACGATTTAGGCTTTTCTTTTTGCCAAAATGATTCGGACATAGAATTTTTAACTCCCTGACGTCTATTAACTTTCTCCCTATTAACTTTCTCCTGATATCAGAGCTGTCTGACAAAATTGGACCCAGCTTACGTAACTTTGACAAACTTTCCCAAGGATCTCTCTCTCTCTCTCTCTCTCTCTCTCTCTCTCTCTCTCTCCCCCCCTTCTCTCTTTCTCTCTTTGTGTTTTAATCGAGAAACTTTTCATCAGAGTCGCTCGAAAAATATTTCCTTCTTCCTCTGCTTCTTGAACGAGATTAAGAAAGCTCCAGTCCGTGTACAACAAGGTAAGCTTTCGTTTCTTGCAGAATCAGGAGCAGCTTTCTTGTCGTTTTTATTTCTCTACTACGGCGTGTCGCTTCGTTGCGTACGGTACTTAAGCTCGAGTAACGCCTTAAGGAGCTTCGTACGAGCGTTCGATATGGACTTTTATATTGCAGGTTTTACGTTTCCATATAGAAGCTGATGTGTATTGTGAAGCTAAGGGGCAAACCTTGCGGTACTGTCGGTATTACGTTATACAGACTCTTTTATATATATATATTGAGACGTTTCGTGATTTTTAAGTGTTTGGAATCACGAGACTGTTTGTAGGGTTTGTGCACTGGGCAGGCGTCTTTAGAAACAATTTAGACACTGAAGTTTTTAAATTAATAAAACAATGACATATTGTCCTATAAATTACAGACTAGGTATCCTTAATACTCTATTTTGCTCTCTTTCACACACATACACACACTTTACAATTTAAGGTCAAATATTAAAGGTCCTATATTCTCTTTCCTTTATCGGCGTCGCTATGAGGTCGATAGGATTCTTGAGGAATTCTAGGATTTGAGTTCTCTCAGATACTGTTATGCACATCCACAGTGCGCTATGCACTCTTATGCGGGGCTCTTGACGTATCCATCATTGAGAATGAATGATTGGGAAGGAAAAAGGATAAAGGATAGGGGGGGTATAAGGTCGGAACGTTACAATATATATATATATTTTGCTTTTTCTTACATCAAGGACAACAAT